ATTAAGGAAAACGTAAAAACTAATAAGGTAATAGTAATAGCAAAAGTTGTATCTCAAATTATTATAAGTGCAAAAAATAAATCATTAGGTCTTCTTGCTACTAGAGGGGTGTTGTGGTAGGATATCTTTGGCATTTTTAAAATAATTAAAGATGTTGTCATTGCCAACAATGACCTGGGTGGGTAGTCGTTTTGTGGCTTCCATCTAGCAGACAACTGATGATGATGGCTAAGCCATCGAAAGCTGCTTTTGAATTAAAAAACATTGTTGGCAATGACAACATCTTTAATTATTCTTCTTGCTACTGTTTACTTTCCGCAACCACAGGGAAGTACATATTAAAGGGGAGTGAATCACAATAATTATCATCCCACTGTGTTACAGTGCGATAATGAGAAACGGAAGTCTCAAAATGTATGCAGATGGGAACGACGCATCTACACACAAAGGAGGGTACACTTTCACAAGCAGGTTCTTTAGAATGCTCCTGTTAAGTTACGAATAATCGTGGGATAAGAACGCAAATTCACATACATGCAGGTTTTGGAAGGTTAGGTCGTTTGTAAATGTCAGTCCCAAATACGAATTTTTTTCTCCCACACGTTCATGAACTACATTCTTCTCCTGGTATCAGCAGCTTTCACTTCATATCCGCTCTTCATATCTCCTTATTCTCAGAAGTGGTCGTCGTAGAAACTTCAATTCGCATTTTTCCATATGTACCGTCTATTTGTGAAGATTCTAGTACATTAGTCGCCGTCTTCTTTCTCTCCACCTCTTCCTTCAAATCAACAAATAACTTGTGAGAGGGAGGCGTCTTCTTGACAAGTGACATACATAATTTTGTATTTTCTTTTTTTATTATCAATCAAAACGATCTCTCTTCATTCGCTCCATTAAGGATTTTTGGCACTCATCCAGGTCAACTTATCTCTTAAAGCCTTCTTCATACTCACAATCAATGTACAATAAATTTAAAAGTGAAAAGTGAGTAACTGGAACAGCCAAGTTATTAATTTGCCTTTCCATACCGCTAACACAATGTAAAAAAAACTATAAATGACCGAACGCAGCGTAATTGTAAACCTTAAGTGAACACCTAAATTACGTTACGATCCCACGCCCCGGTTCACAACGCCATCCTCTCTACCAACATCAAGCAATCTAAATTTTATTTCTCTGAACGCTTCCTTCCCTTCCTCAATAGAGTACGAGCGTGGCAGCCCTGCAGGGTGGAGGGGGGGGGGAAATGGCTCAACGAGGCCTTGTCATCACCGCCGCGCCACCCCATACATTACCATTAGCGACGCATCATGCTCGTGGGTTCCGTGGCGCGAGGCGCGGCCCCGCGGCAACGACCGCGGAGATGGCGTCAGTCGTCTTCAATCAACGCTCCGCGACGTCTTTAAGTCCCGAAGCACTTCGAGAGCACGCGGCTAAATGAGGCGGGGAACACTTCTCTGTACTACTTTCGCTTGAACTATTGTAATAACGGGACTCCCTATTTGTAGTTCAAAGAGGAGGTTTATGTTAATGCTGTATCCACAGTACGATGCGCTATGTTACGATTGTTCGTGATAATGTAAAGTTTTATCATCATTACACAATCAGTACTCTTGTAATGTTGATCTTTGAGACTGAGGAAATAAACTTTTGAGGTAATCTTTAATATATCATATCATTTAAGGGACTAAAAGTAAGAATTAGATTAAATTATTAATGTTTATAAATTACCTCAGTGCTTTTATGTTATTCATTATACGTTATTCGATATGTTATTCGAAGTACATCAATATTTGGCAAGGAGCATTAGACGTTTTAAGCCACTTATAACAATAACAATAATGCTTTATAAGAACACGAAAATGACGTTTAAAATTAATATCAAGGAGTCTATCTGAGATTCCAAGTTACAGCAACATTCCATAGAACAAGAAAAACTAATCAAGCATTAATGAGAGAGTAACTCGCAAATATTAGACGAATAAACGATGGAATTAAAGCTATAATGGAAAACTTCAATGAAAAAGAGGGAAGTGGACAAATCGCATTTCAATGCTAAAAATAGTGGAAACAATACCGGTAGAGAAGATCTAATAACACCAGAAGAGGTCAAGTAATAAACAAAATCAATAGCCCCGAGGGTGAAAGCGAGGTTTTAAAACATCGACGCATAAATTATGAGAACGAAACCGCGAACAAAAATGGAAAGGGGTTAAATGGAGAAAACGTCCACGAGGCATGTGCCACGCCCCCAAGTGAACTCTCCCCCGAAGCAGAGCGCGTCGCCGGCGCGTCGCGCACGACGGGAGGACGCAGCCCGTGGCCGCCCGCACACGTCGCGCGCGTCGTGAGGCCTTCACGCCGGGCGGCTGCCGCGGTTCGCGGCCCACGGCGGCGGCGGCGGCCGCGACACGCCCGAGGGGCGACCGAGGGGCGTTGCAGCGCGCGCACGGGGCGGGGCACAGTGGTAAAGGTCACGCGCCGGCGGGAGAAGGTAGCGCAGAATCCGCGAGGAGGCGGAGTGTGACGAAACGAGCTGACGAGTTAAAAAAGAAACGGGTAATTGATAACTAGTGATTCCGGGCACGACAACGACTAAGGTCATTGGTCTCGTAAGTGAAGTTAATGTGTTTTTCCTCGTGAGGTGGTTGCCCCGATGGATGGCGGGATACGGCACCACCCTAACATCGGCTAACCCCAATAGTTATCTAGCGTTTTCCCTAACCATCTCCCACCATCCGGGCACCACCCCAGCCGGGACAAGCTCTTAAGCTCCAGACCGGTCTCCCCGCATATGTGATAGTGTAGTGGATGTGTAAATGTGTGTAAGTAAGATGTAGGATAGGACAAGGAATGGGAAGGAAAGATCACACGCGGTCCGAGGCCCGTTTAGTAATGTACTGCTCCGACATTCGCCTGGTGGAGAATTGGAGAAAGCACGCAGAACTACTTATGACAGCAGGCAGAGAAAGAACTCGACCAAGCTATCTGGATAGTGTCAAAACACCTGCCACCGGCTCGGAACTCTAACCCAAGGACCTCCCGGTCAGAGGCACTGCAGTGACATCAGTTTATGACCTGAACCAATGAAACTGGTGAGAAAGAGTGAGTCGAAATAGGACTAGGGCAAGGGTTTCCAACGGGGTCGGTACAAACCCCTTGAGGGTCTACGAAATTTTGAAAGGGGTCAATGATGATCTAAGGGTCGATTGGAGGTCACTAGTTGAATATAAACCGGCGGCTGATCAGTAGAATCAATATCCCATTGATTACAAAAAATATGTTTTTCTGATAAAACGCAGAAGCCTGTAATAATTAAATACAAATTTGCTCCTCTTCTCTCGTTTTCGTCGTTTATCAATACGTGTAAGGATGTTCAGAAAACTCTAGGAATTATTACTATGCATTAACAACGACACTATCGCGGAAAAAAGTATTACCCACAACACGCGTTAGATAAATGTTATTAATTGTTTACACATCTTTGAAATGCACAACATTTGTAACCATTACATTAAAAAGAAGATTCGAAACTCAGCTACTCTCAAGCAGAAACCCCTTTGATTACTGAAAGTCAAATTATTAACGTGATTATTGGTGTTGGAAAATATTACCTTTAAGGGAATTACATTCAAATCTGTGTAATGATTGTGGATGCTGTATACCATAAAGTAATCATAAACGGGTTGATGTAGCAAATAATTATTTTAAAAGAGAGTAGATGAAATAAAGTATTGTGAATCTCTGGTCACAATAGAGAGGACATGGGGGTGGCTCTGGGCGAGGTGGTATGAGTGGTATGAGTAGAACGAGCGCAAAGGTCGCGGTGGGTCGGGGAGGCGCAGCGAAGCGCGGGATACGTAGAGGGGGCGGGGATGGGAGAGCGGTCGGAAGGGCAGGATGGAGCAGGGGGCTAGGAGCGTCTTCAAGAAGTGTGACCGTGAAAGGGCCCGTCCCGCTTTCGACCTTCGGACGAGACAGAACGGCGGCCGGCGCCGCCGAGTTCTATCAAGTTGATTGGGGCTTTTCAATTTCCTGAACGAAGTTTAGTGAAGGATGGGCGCGTTTTATTTCGTTAGGAACCGGAGACGGCGAAGCGTTAACCTGCAGCGCCGCCCGTCCGTCGCCGGCCGAGCACGGAACGCCCGATGGGAAAACAGCCTGCGATCGAACACCCGCAACTGCAGCAGGCGATGCAGCAGTGGTCGATCTCAACAACACGGCAGTCCCGGCAAGGACCTTGCAAATTTGTACATTATACGAATAGAAGTACAGTAAACTCTCGTTAACACGAATTCCAAGGGACTGTCATTATCTATGATCTTCTTATAAAAATTCTTGCTATCTGATTTTTATCCTCATTACGTTTGTTGACGAGACACAAATTTTGTTCGTTTAACGATGATTTTATGTAAAGGGAGTTCGCGTTAAAGAGAGTTTACTGTATTCACAAATCTCGGAAATAAATATCGTTGTTTCAAAAGCAAACTGCTACTTAACAATGTATTATTTGTTTTTTCAATAGACGAAGTAGTTAAGTATTTTCTATAATGTGTGAGCGAATTAAAAATATTAACGAGTCTTCGTTGTTGCAGTGTTTGGCAAAGTTTTAACTATTCATCAAAAGAAGTCTAAAAGCACAAAACGTATCCGCTTCTTTTACATTCATTTTGCTCTGTGTAAGCATAATTTTTTTTTCAAATTATTATACACTACATTACGATCTTTTATGGTAATTTTTCGTCACTGAAAATCAAATACCTACAATAGCTTTGAACTAAACAGAGCATACTTGAAAAGGATATAAATATTGAGATGAGCCGTTTTCGTCTTTCAACAACTCACGATTCTAAACCCGTATACTTCAATCTCAAGAACAATCGACCATGCCACATATACAGATTTTTGTTGAAATGTTGTAAACCAATTATTCCAGTCGATGCGACTCACCACATCAGCACACCAGCGTATGTTTGTAAATGTGAAGAAAAGGATACGTATATGCTGTCCCTGGAGTAGCGAGCTTGTAGATTCCTGTTGATGCCCACTTCGTCGATGTCGGAGATGGCTGTCATGTCGGGCACCCCAGCATCGGGGCCCGCGCCTGCAACACACCAGAGCACACATGAGCACACACAGCCAACACATCAACGTGCACACACACACCCATCACCCGGTCTTCGCTGCGCCGGGCCGCGCCGAACGGAAACAGCTCATTTATTTTATCCGCTTGATGCTGCGCTCGAGCATCCATAATTAACGTGAGATTAATGATTATGGTTGAGAGTTTATGACCGAAGACGGGTAATGGATCTGGACATACGGAGGGGTACACATTCAATCATTTTTCGGAACATCTCTCAGGATATCAAAATCACCTCCAACATATGTTAAAAGTGCTCAGAGGACAAGCTGTGCACACATTAACGGAGATTTAAGAATGATTTGTGATTATGTTCCACTGACAAACTACGAAATGAATAAAAGGTTGCATTGCAATGAAAATAAATTTGAAAGTAAAAATATTTTCTTAAACAACACTAACAAACGCTGGGCCAAAGCGTTAGGGCGTTGTGTCAATGCAGCGGCGATTGGGATTATTGGTGACTGGATGGTGGCCGATAGAATTCCAGGCGGGATTCAGAAATTTATTTGAAGTGTTAAACACCAGTGTGTTAAGCGCTCCTGCCGATATCAACGTAGTTTGCCGACAGTTCTGATCGATTACTGTAGAGGCTTTGCTGATCGCTTCCAGGGGAATGCCGGAGCAGCAACCTAATCAATTGTTCACAGACCGAGCCTGACACTTCCTTCCCCTTTCCATTCCTACTCCGAGCCGAGTTAAAGGCTGATCCACATACTCAAATGACATTTTAAGGAAAATCACAGGGTCGGAGGGAGTTAATATAACTGATAAGGTCTTCGATGCACTGGCGTGTTAACAAACAACTAAAAACTCTTAAGTTGTTCTTTTAAAAACTTTTCTTCTTAAACAGTTCTCACCAGGAGAAGCATGTAATAACCTATTACTTTTCATTGAAACACCAGCGAAAGGCAATGCGATATGATGTATCACAGTATTATAATGCTGAATTTCTCTTCTGCGAGTTCCTAAACAATGCTTTGTTTGTCATAACGAGAGCAAAAATATTCACACACAATTGTATTATGTAAAAGAAGTTAGTATGACTTCTAATAACGAAATCTTTTTAACGTTCACGTAGAAAGATTGTTCAGAAAATTGCATAAAATTGCATTGTATATGAAATGAAAGTCTTCAAAAGTACTTTTGCTGAATAAGTCTCCAATGAATGGGCAAATACGTCTTCTGTGCTTAAAGATGTCCTTTTGTAAATGATTTCTTGTATTTCTCTTACAGAAAATGTCTTTTTAATGCTGGAATACAAAAAAAGTTACATACATTTTGGTAAGTAGTCACGAGATGCCGAGTACGGCCCATACCTACGATTAATTTATTGACTTCAATTCAATATTGCGTTCCAGTTAATTACATATAACCATCGGCTCCCAGCCCATAAAATCGTGTCTGTACTACAGAGAAACTATCCTAAGAAGGGATCAGTTTGACAAAGTTCAAAACGAAAGTCTTGTTTGACGACAACATTGTAAGTTGTGTCAAAAGCATTCACAAGTGAGCCAAAAGTAAACGAACGCACTAAGTTAGCTCATGGGCATAACCTGCAGTTATGGTACCAGCAATAGCGAAGCAGTCGATGTCTCGGCGGGCCATTTTTATTATCCCTCTATACATACAATGCTATAATAAGGTAAGAAACGGCCCATACCCACGATTAACTTATTGACATTCAATTCAATATTGCGTTCCACGTTAACTACATATAACCATCGGCTCCCAGCCCATAAAATCGTCTCTGTACTACAGAGAAACTATCCTAAGAAGGGATCAGTTTGACAAAGTTCAAAACAAAACGTCATGTTTGACGATGGTATTGCAAGAAGCATTCACAAGTGAGCCACCTGCAAACGGACGAATTTACTAATTTAAGCATATGTGCACCAGGCAATTGTGTGACCAGCAGTAGCAAGTGGTTGTCTCAGCGGTTCCTTTTTATAATAATCTCTACACACATTCAAGGTCACAAGAAGGAAAGAAACTGAGCCAGATCCTGGGCAGGATTCCGAGCACCACCGCCCCGCCGCGCCGCGCCGTCCAGAAGCACTCGCAGGTAGTCGCGCGGCGCGTCGGGACTTCCGGCGGCGTCGGGAGGCACGTAATGGCCGACTTCCTGCGCGCGCCTTATCGCCGCACCCCCGCACACTATTACGCGCCCCCTCGCCCCCCTCCCACCGCGCGCCGCCACTCACGGGAGATTCCCGCGGGAGGAAAACACCCGTGCTCCCACAGCGCGCCCCGCCCCCCACCCTCCCCATTGTCTCGGGCAGAGCGAGCATACGTGCATGGGTACCCGCGCGGCTAATGCGGTCATTTGAAGCCGCGCCCGCCCACCCGTCCGTCCGCGGCTGCCATTGTGACAGAAATAACCAGATTGGGAGGCGATTGCGAACGGTAATCGGCCGCCGACGAACAAAAGAGGTGCGGCGGCGGGGTGGGGCGCGTCCATCACGGATTTTGTGGCGTCAATGCACCCCAATTCCAATCTGAATATATTTAAAACGGTAAACAAACATTGGAATTCTAAACATACACGGTTTCCCGATACTAAATGTTACTTCATACTTAATTGTAAATAATGTAATACTGTTTTTGTTTAATGGCTTTGATACTCATTCTTTTTGAGAAGACTTAAAATTTTCAGTCTGTTAACTATCTTGTACACTTAGAAATAGAAAGTTTGGCCTCTTTTTATCATTCACAGCACTACACTGACATTACAAGAAAATTCGATAAGAGAATAAACTATTCTCGCACAATTTTGGTGTCTTTTTCATATTTAGATTTTTTAGGATTATCAGTAGAGAGAATTCCGTCAACTCCCCATAAGAAAAAAAAAACAAATAGACTTGAAGTTGTTCTGTACACTGTCCTCCCATTCTTGTTACCCGTTTCCGAGAAGGAAGACAGACTTGTACTTCGTGTTGGATTTGAGTGGTGACATTATTTATGATTCACAATGGTACGTGGATTCATGTCTGAAAAGGAAGAATTAGTCGTATCTGTGTATTTGTATTGGTAGTCCTAATTCTATCCAATGCAAGCAATATTTTTCGTGAAGATAAAATTCGTTCGAATTTGATGAATAAAGGTGCCCATACACACACACACACACACACACACACACACACACACAGAGTCAGGATACCTGACGATTTCGCTGCGACTCGTGCCCTTAGCTCAGCGGCTTCTGACCTTGCCTCCCACCGACCGCCTTTGTTCGCCTGAGGAGGAGTGCTTTCGACTGAGTCACGCGACAGCGCATCGCTACCTTAGGGCCTCTGCATACGAGCGTTGCGTTGACGCGCGTCGTAGAATAACACTATCTTATGCGAAAAGGCACACGGGCGCTGTGGTCGTTTCGCAAAAGATACAGTGTGAATATACGACGCGCGTTACTTATCGCGCGTCAACAACATTCGTGTGACACTGGCCGTACCTGCACGATGGCCGTAATCGAAACAGGGTTACGCACCAAGAATACTGTGACGTCATGGATACTCACAGCGACCACAGACACAGAGCTTTCATATAACAAATATATTTATTAACAAAGAAAACAAAACAAATATATACACTTAATATCCTACTTACACCCTAGCTCTGATAGACCTACTATCCCCTGATCGCGGATGCGATCCAAACCCGATTGAAGATGGTTTCAATTGTGGCATTCGCCATTACTACATCTGAAGCGCGCACAAAGCCTAGCTTCCGTGACCGGATGTCACGCTGGGACACAAAGTCCGTTCTGGCGCACCAACGGCTGGTTTGCCTCGATCGCAGAAGCGATCTTATCCGATTGAGAATCGGCGAGAAATCGTGGCACTCAACCACTCTTCACCTCGGAGCACGCATACAGCATCGCTCCCCCGTGACCGCAGTCACCCAAGGACCTAAAGTCCGCAGGCTTCGTCAACTAGTGACTCGAGCCTCGCGAGCCTGGCTCGCATATGCACCGTCGTGGCGCCAAGTTTCGTGCACATGCACGAGGTTCTCCCGCTGTCTCCAGAACCCACCCACTGGCTCTGTACACTCTGTTGTATAGGCGAGGCCCACGTGATCTACTACGTCACGCCACCCCCTCGCTTGTTATAACAGTGAAAAGCTTCTAAAGGCCGGAAGACTCCAAAGCCTTGAGTCTCCCGTTTCCGCGTTCTTGCCTTTACGGGAAAACCCTTCTCTCCTTCCTGTGGCGAGGCTAATCCTCTACCAAACGTCCCCAAATAGATGCCACGAGGCACGCTGGCTAATACGTTACAATACGTGCAAACACCAAGATACATCCTGACAGAATACAGCCGGCGGATTTCGTTCTTAAAAGATATGGGACCAGTCTTGTTTGCTCTAATATTTTATCAAATGGAACGGGTAAAACGTGCATAACGTGCGAACTTGTTTCGGCCCCCTTAGAAAATAAGGTGATATTTTATAACGTCTCTTTGACATAAAGAGGCAATTTCATTGTTTTGTGGTGTTCAATTCGTATGCACAGGACGTAATAAACATTTGAACGAGAGAAGAGAGGAATAAATTAAAGTAAATTGAAGAAAAATTGAAAACTAACTTACAGCTGTCATTTCTTAAAATTAACTTGTGTAAGGCCCTAAGATATTTGTAAGGCTGTCGTACTGGCGGGTTAATTTTCTACCCTGTTGAAATGTTATACAATAGCAATTTGCAACAAGGTTTCTTTTACCTCACTGGCGTATATCTCAACCTACCGCTGACTACGACAAATTACGCAAAATGTTATTGTTCAGGATGTCAACAGGGTGGAAAATTAATGGCAAAGAGACAAGGGGCTGAAACGGGTTCGGTATATGCTCGTTTCACTCGTTCCATTTGATAAAATATTCGAGTAAATAAGAGTGTGGTCACACAAATCCCTTACGAACAAAATCCATCGGCTGTTTGTTGTCAGGATGTATCTAGACGTTTGTACGTAT